GTTAAAATGCACTGCAAACCCCAAATACCTGTATGTTACAAACCACTGCAAAATACGGCTGCTTACAGAAACACCACCAACGGTAAAATAGCACCAAGCAGCCTGAAATGCAACAAGACTGAGTTGAAGAGGTGGCTGTGGAAACCTAGTCAACTGCAAGGACCGAGATACCCATCTCCCTTCGCGCTGGGCATTTATAGGTGACAATGGGACAGTACACGCCAGGAAGAGGGATGCTGGTGTAGTAGGGTGAATCTCTCATCCGCGTCTCCAACAGCAGGCCTGTTTGGCAAGATCGAAAGCAGCAGTCCGCTGTTCCCTCCCCTCCTCCAGTCTGGAGGATGTAAAACTCACATCGCAGACCCGTGCTGTTAGAAATGGCTCTAAACTCGTGCGGTAGCATCAGCAGAGGCAAGCCACGGAGCCTAAGGAGAAGCTTCAACCACAGCATTGATCCGAACATCAAGTTAATCAGACTGCCTCATGCACGGCAGTCCTCCTGCCGACTGTCACAGGCAGACGCTGCAGCTCAGCATGTGCTGCTGCTTTAAAGGAACCAGCAGTGGAGAAATGCTCAGTCCCCATCCCCAGCTCTCAGCACAGCACATTTCCAAAAAAAAAAAAAAAAAAAAAGGCAAGGAAAAGCAAAACAGAAGCTGTGCTACAAGCCGATTTACTTTTCCAGGGAGACGTGCTCTGAATTATATACAGGGCCCCACAGCTGAGACGAACTTTGCTGTAATATGGGAACATGTAGAAAACTGACCTAAGGTAAAATGCTCGAGCGCTGTTCTCCAGTTTGGATTGGCACTTGAGAGCAGAGAGGACGTGCCCATTACTGTGCTTGTCACCTTACCAGCATCTTACATTCAGGAGAGGGGAAGCACACGTGACTGGGTGAGGGAAAGAATGGACTTTCCAAGCTGTGACCCAGCACATAAAACCAAGTCTTTTTGGAAAGGCAAGAACACAATGAACACCACATTTACGCTGAGCCTGTCCCGGCCTGCTGGTGGATGCATTTGATCAATGCAACGTTTCAGGAAAAAGAAACTGGAACCAGGCTTGAAGCCCAGCTTGCCAGCCTTTCTGTGCCATTTGCCCACAAGCCCCTCTGGAGCAGGAGAGCACGTCCCTCCCATCTCTTTGCAGGGGCGTTCCTTGGAGCAGGGCCACAGCAAAGCAGAGTCAGCACAGTCACATGTAAGATTTTTAAAATTCAATTCTGAAGACAGCATGTGACAAAGGAAGCGTCGCTCTTTCGGGGCTATCGCTGAAAACCTGCGGGGCCTGTAACAAAACGCATGATGAACTAACTGCACGTCAGTTTTATCAGCAAAGGGATACAGGCCTAAGCCTGGTGTGGGGAGAATTTCATGGCGCTTATTTACAAACCAGGAGGGGAAAACTGCATCAGTGAAGGTAAACAGCCTAGACACCCCACAATACTGGCCCACATCATATTCTTTAATATCTAAAAGTAAAAAAATATGGCCCATTCCCACTGCCCTCCCCCCCACGATATTTACAAGTAAGATCAGCCAAGATGATACATAAGGAAGATGCACAGGCAGACTGTGCTTTCAGTCTCAGTTTGGTTTCTCCATCTTCCTGCTGGCAGCTTCCTTTATGAAGATGCACAGGCAGACTGTGCTTTCAGTCTCAGTTTGGTTTCTCCATCTTCCTTCTGACAGATTCCTTTATTGCTTGGGACACTGACCGGACCTCATCAGTACTGTCTGCGCCCTCCAGGATGCTGGCACAGCAAACAGCAGGGAGGCTTCGGCAAGCTCTGGCAGTGGACAAAACCTGTATGGTTTGTTGCACACTAAATCGCCAAAAAGGATGACAGGATGTATAATGTATATTTACAGTCACCCACTCTTTCGGCACATATTCCACTGCAAGAGAATCCAGCATCTGCTGTTTAAGTTGAAAACTGTCAGTGTTCACGTTTGGCACAGAAGTTACTTTGCATCTGTGGACTGCAGTGAAACCAGAGATCCCAGATGTGAAAAACATGCACTTATGGGAAGGAACTGCACGTTCCACCTTGGAACATCAATAGCCTTGTGCACTTACAGAAGGAAAACACACAATTACAGCTAAAAAATGCCACGAACATTTTGTAAATAAAACAGACTTCATTGCTCTTAGAAATAATACTGTGTCAGTTCCAACTTCGGCTGAAGCCTGCTGGGCACAGACTGGAAGGTACGAACGTGTAGCATGCCGCTTCTGAACACGCTAGGAGGCCGAGTGGAAGAGTCCTCACAAAGGAATGCAGCAAATAAAGGTAAGACATATGGAAACATACGCAGGAACAGGAACACAGTCTAGGAGACCTAGGCATTTCCAATACTATGCTTGCAATGATGTGCTGCTGTTAGCAGTATGGAAGTCATTTGACAGCAGCTGCAGTGTAGGAATTAGTCGTCAATAGTTGGCAACCAGAAGGCCTACAAAAGAGAAGGACGAACATCTTTTACAGAGCGGAACACAACTCTCTCCTACAGCACACTGTAGGAGCTTATCACCGCTACCTTCCATAAGCACACAGGCAGAGACTACCAAAGAGGCAGCAACACCCTCCCAAGCAGTTTAAGGTTACAATCCTTGCTTATGCTGGTCTGGTTTGCATTGCACGTTCTCTCGTTGCAAGCCAGTCTTACACAAACTGAAAATGCCAGCCGTGTACAGTGACCTAAAGGAGTCATACTTCTGCGTGCGCATTCACCCACTGCTCTGCTTTCGTGTGTGTTCAAATGCTGGCTTGCCAGGTGTGCTGCCCCACATATCTGCCTGCCAGGTAAGGCGCAATCAAGGTGCAACAGGCAGGGGCCTGGCTCTCACCAAAGCCCAAGGAAATACCCATCAGTGGCACTGAGCCTTCTCAGATTCATTTCTAAAAGGGTCAGCATCTCATTGAGCTAGGAGGAACTTAAAATGCTCTCCTTACCATATTGGAACATGCACTAGCAAAAGTCATGAATTTTGGATTGAACTGCAGACAGGTTATAGGACCTGTGTGTTTCCCATCCAGCACAGCCACCTTCATCCCACTTTCCCCATTCCAAACATGAATTTTCCCATCTTCTGAACCTGCAGGCAGGAGTGGAAAACAAGATACGCAAGATATGTTGGAGAGACCAGCAGAGAAAATGAAGTACATAACCTTTTCTGACAGAGAACTGTAGGAACAAGCATGCCTCGTCTTCATAGCTTAACCTTTAAAATCCCTGAAGTATCACTAGGGCATCACTGGAGTTCACACACCTGTATCCAAACAGCAGGTTTGTATCTTTGCACTGCGGAGACTCAACTACGCACCACAGTGCAATGCTATTCTGGCAAAGAGGTTAACAACCACGGTCACCCAGTAGACAAGGAGAGCTGACACCATCCAACTAAGGAGGGAAGACCCTTGCCAACTTGCACCAATGTGCGAGAGGCCAAAAGCTGGGTGTAAGAGTCACTGTTGGCACAAGTTCTCAGTTCAGACACAGAAGGAGATAAATATTTCACTTGGTAGGCACAGAATCAAATCAAAGGCTTTACCATTGAAGGTAACCAGATTTCAATGCACTATGCCAAATACTAGAAGCTTCACTGGAGGTGTCAAGTCTCCACATTGCTACAACGGGACAGGTTTTTCACTTTAAAATGGCATTTTGCAAACTCTGAGGCTGGGCACTTAACACTTATAATTCAATTCTGCTTTAGTCTCATTTTATATAGGATTCCTAATAAAAATACAAGGTATTTTCTTCGCATCTGTAATTATATGTATAGCTTTTCAAGGAAGAGAAATTAAGAAGCACAAGTTACAACTTAACCATATGTAAAAACTGAACAGAAATAAGTGGTTTGGAACTTCTTCCACTATAGTTTTCATTTGGAAGGGCACAACAGGAAGGTTAATATGTGCAATAAAGTGCTCTCCAGAAACAGACTAAACAAAGAACCTCCCCTGCCCCCACCTTCTCTGCAATCAGGAAGTTCTCAGCCAGAACAAAATAGAAGAAGTTTTGCCAAGACCATCACTCATCCAGGAAAAATGAGGATCAGGATACCAATTACCACAAAGTTAAACATATTTTATGTACCAGCCATATCAATAAGAACAAAAAGAAAGTGCTAGGAGAGGGCAACACCACACAAATGCGTCTGACTTGTGTTCATGGGTCATTTTGGGCAGCAGTGTAGCAGAGTGACTGAAGCGCTTACCTTGGGGTGCCCAACCTGCAGCACCAGGCTTTACAGGAGCTGCAACTGCTTTTTGCCACCCACTTCACTCAAGAGTCCTGCCTGCAGGGGGTGAGGAAGGGGGCCTGGGCCAGAGGAATCATGCTGGGAGCCATCAGGCTGATCCCTACTGCTTCTATCAAGGGTTAAATGGAGCTTGTTCCACAGACATGGTGATTCACAAGAGCCACGTGAACAAAATGCAGCTGCCGCAGCATGTCGCCAGTGCAGGAATGTCCCTGGGAGGTGCACAAACACACCAGGCTATGAGACCAACTGCCCAAGCACAGACAGGTGCCTCGTTCATCAGGTAATGGAGGGCAGGCCACAACATACAGCCCCAAAACACTTTCAGAGGCAGCACATGAGTGCATCCTAGCCACAGGGTGAGGATCATTGACATAAATTATGTGACATCTCCACACATTACAATAGTTTGCTGGTTTCTTATCTTTTTTTGGAATAGTGTTCATATATAAAGGAAAAAACAAAAGTCTTCTTGCAGGCTCGTTTTCATTTCAGTCTAGAAAATGCTGAGTAAACTAACAAAACAGAAAACCATCGATGCAAAGAAAGCTTACAGCTGCATTGTATTATTTAAATACATTGTGCTTCCCAACACAGACACAACTTTAGTCCTACATAACACACCTCATTTCAGAGCACTGAAATTCTTTCAAGAATTGTCTTACCTATCATGATGAACTGAGAGTCTGGTGTGAATGATGCCTCCAGTGTGACAGCTTTACTGTTGTTATAACCCTATGGTGCAAAACAGGAGAACATGTACTAGAGAGCATGTCCACAGTAATCTCGCAAACCAAAGGACACCTGCTCCCAAACCTAACACCAAGTTTCAAGCAGGTAACACAGGCAACATGCTCACCCCAAACGTATGCAGGACAGCTCCTTTAAAGGCATCAATCAGTCGAATGAACCCTCCATTAGTCGATATGAGGATGAGTTTGCCATCGTTACTGAACTTCAGGCCTGTCCACTCACATGTTCGATCATACTGCATCTTAAATGTAGCAAATGGCCCCTTCAAATTAAAAATGGGAAGCGTGATGTAGACTCTGCATGCATTGCTGCTAACAACAGTCTGCTTTTAACCTTAGCTCAGGAAAGTTTAAGATTTTTCAAAAGAAAATATTTAGTCCTAAGATACCAAAGGAAAGCGTCATAGCAAAAACATGTCACTGCATGTGTAAGTTTCAAAGTATGAATCCATAGTTTCCATAGCAAAAAAGAGCCACAGTAGGGTGCTTCAATACCCAGTAGTCCCATACTCTACCACATTCAACAGCAGAAATTAATTTAAGGTAGGATGAAGTTTTCAAACAAGGCTGCTAATTGAAGTCAGAGAAAGAGCTTGAGCCAGTGTTATTGTCATCTGACTTTTTGAAAACCATGGAACTAACTATGCTCAGTTCAGCTGCCCACCCAATTACAGTTTCCTTTGAAATTTCCATCCAGTGTTCTTCCAGAAAAAGCAGCAAGGAAAAAGAAACAAACAAAACACCAAAAGCAAACAACAACAAAAAGCCTAAACAAGAGTTTGGAACAGGTTAAAGAGTTAGCAGAAGTAAACTTTAACAGTGGTTCAAGAGTGGATTTCAGAATCTGGTGACAGCACATACCCCTCTCTGTCTGTGAGATGTTTACTTACCAAAAACTCTCTAGGTGCCAAGTAGGCACCCTAGATAGTAAGCTGGAGTAAACAAATGCAGCTTCTGAGCACTGAGTTTAGACTACTTCTTGCAAGATAAAAAGTGTAAGTAGGGAAGTTAGGGTAGCTCACCTTGTCAAAAGAACGGAGATCGTAAAGCTTCACCATTTCAGAATTGACTCCAGCAGCAAAAATTAACCCTTCTGGGTCAAAAGAACACACAGGCTTCCCTTGGAGATGCATTAAACCCTAGAAAATAGAAGTCCAAATTATTTTGCAAAACTCATGCTCACATTTCTACCACTATCCTTTGAGCCCACTGTGAGCAGGACAGCAGCCTATGGGTGGAACAACTGAATTTCAATTGTAAATATTGAGGTTTTACAAAGGTTCAGAACTCAGCTTCTCAAAAGCAACTCTGACTACTTCAGGTCATCATACAGAGCTTCCAGTTTGCTACAATGACAAAGTTTACATCAGAACAAATCAAGACCTCAATTCGAGCTGTCATCCACTCAAAAAGTACCCAGAGAAGGGAGGATGATGTGGCTGTATTAATAACCATACCAGACAGTGCCACAAAACCCTGCTGCTGGGATTGACAGCAACGCTCCACCAGCTATGGTTGTGAAGGAGGGAAGAAAAAGTATTTTGAAAGCAAGTAGAAACAGCTCCAGTGAACACCACTGCTGAACTTTCCGTGCCTATTTAATGAAAACTCATACCTTTTGGAAGCCAACAGACCCTACATATTAAAATTGACAGATTACTATCAGCGCTTATTTTTAATGTTAACTTTTCCTTAACTCACATAATGGAAAAGACTTGAGAAAATTTGGTAAAAGCCAACAAGATGTATAGTTTTCTGTATCCTGACTGGCAGGTCTGTGCGTGTTAGCCAAATGTCTTTACGTAACTGTATGCACATAAATAAGAACACATCTTTGATTAAATCAACAATACATTTAAGAAGTTTCTGCACTTCTGAAATACCATTTTTCGCTAGAGAAGTCTAGAGACTTTATTACTTCTCTCTTCTTTCCAATTTAGGTCAGTTTTCCCTGTGATCTCTGAAGGCTAGGCAGTAAGCTGGCCAACACTCAGGGCCCTCGCAAGTGGGACATCACAGGTTTCCCGGTAATATTTCTAGGCACTACGGCTGCCATCTCATGGGCAAACTGAAAATTACAAGTAACACTTCCTCAACTTGTTGCCCAAACGTTGCTGGATGCAGCTTCCAGTTACAAGTCCTGGTTTTACCATTCTTACAACTTCAGGCATTAGCATAAATCACAGAACTGCTACTGAATTTACAACCCTATCTCATTTCATAGAATCATAGAATCATAGAATCATTAAAGGTTGGAAGAGACCTCCAAGATCATCGAGTCCAACCATCAACCCAACAACACCATGCCCACTAAACCATGTCCCTAAGCGCCTCATCTACCCGCCTTTTAAATACTTCTAGGGATGGTGACTCAACCACTTCCCTGGGCAGCCTGTTCCAATGTTTAACTA